GACTACGGAAGAGAGTGAATAAAACAACGAGTTGAAAATTCTAACCTGGCCTGACTTCATAAAAGTGTCCCTTCAAGGTGAGTCTTGTGGCCCCAGGACCCTTGGCCAGCAGGTGGTCAGGTGTGGGGACACCTGGCCTGCAGGTGAGGCTTGCTCCAGGGCTGAGGGACCTGGCCCACTCCATCAGGGCAGCGGTGTGTGCTGGCCGACCCCCTGGAGGGGTGTGCATGACGGCTCACACCACTGCTCACCAGCAAGTCCACCTCCAGGAACCCTCAAACAGAAACAGGCTTGTCACTGGGCGGTCGAAGACAGCAGCAGGGGGACGTCTGGCTGCCAGCGATGGGTTAAAGCAAGTAAGGCCCCCGCCTGCCATGGAGCACTCGGGGCCAGAGTGCCTTCCACTGACAGAAACAAACTGTGTAGAGGGTGGCCATTTGTGTAAAAAAGTAAAAGGGGCACGTGCAATGACATCTGGAGGTACTGGCTTGTCTCTGCCTAGGGAAACGCTGGGCAGATCCCTAAGAAATCAGCAACAGCGACTACTTCAAGGTGGAAGGTGGAGGGAAGGCTAGGGAATGAGCGACAGAGATTCCTGAATGACAGGAATGTATCTGCTATTCACTAAGTGAATGAAAGGAAACTGAAAAAGAAACATCGTACTGTAAAAACACTACTGTCCTAATTTTAAATATGTGGCAATGAGGCTTGTGGCCTGGCTGTCACCAGGTCGGCCAAAATTCAAGGGGATACAGCATTACTCTGATTTCCCAGGCTGACTACCGAGCACCCAGTAATTTTGAATATTTAAGGTCTCTGTGACTTTGGGGAATGATGAGGGGGCTGTAGCTGGACGTGGAGAGATGCCACTTGGGAGTGATACCCTTGACACAGCTCCCTTTTGGAAGTTCACCTCAAAGGGAACAAACATGCACCTGGAACTAATGCCTGGGTTTGTTTCCAACATGATCACAAAACCACTAACGGTCCCCAAGTGGCTACCAACATGAGTATGTGAGTAGATTCACTTGCTGGGGGTGTAGCTCAGTGGTGAGCGCTGGCCTAGCAGGTGTGAGGCCCCGGGTTCCGTCCCTAATACCCACCTCCCCCCAAAAAGAAAGAAAATTTCTTTATAGTGTGGCAACTGTGGATAAGAATAGTGTATTGCATATTTTAAAAAGCCAGAAGGATTTGGGAAGTTATTACCATAAAGAGAAATGATAAATGTTTGAGGAGTTAAATGTTTAACCTGATCTAAACACTCCCCAACATACGTATGTGTGAAACGTCACGTGGTACTCCGTCAATACGTAGGATCATTGTGTGATGTATAAAAGAGTAAAAATAAAATTAAAAAATGAAGTGAGTGGATCTCACCATGAGATCACACCATAGGATTTTCCTGAGTCGGTGGGAAGCTCTTGTGACTACAGGGTAGTCACACACCCTAAGTCAGTACATTAAATTCTGTGCAGTGTGACGACAAGGCTGTCTCAATAATTGCTGTTTATCACAAAATCTCATGGGCGCACAAGGTATACGTGGTGTCCGATGCCTCGATTTAAAACTCAATTACAAGCCGGACATGAGTTGCAAGCCTGTGATCTCGGGAGGCTGAGGCAGGAGGCTTGAGAGTTTAAGCCAGTCTCAGCAATGGAGAGGCATGAAGCCATCCAGTGAGACCTGGTCTCTAAATAAAATATAAAGTAGAGCTGGGGATATKGCTCAGTGGTTGAGTGCCCCTGAGTTCAAGCCCTGATACCCCCCCCAAAAAAAAACCCCTCAATTACAAGCAAGTAACTCAACAGCTGTGAAAACTTCCCTCTTTTGTGGGGACAAACCTGTTACATTTACTTGAATCATGCAGCTCAACTCTAGAGTCGATGGCTCTGGCGTGTCCCCACTAAGCCACCGTTGTTCAGTCACATCTAAAGATGTCGCGCACTGTTACATTTGGAGTGAGCAGGAGGAGATGTTCTATTGGCATCCCCCACTCCCCAGGAAAAAAACCTGCCCAGTTCCCACTGCTGTCGCTCTACCGTGCTGTCAGAAGCCGGGAGCACCCGGTTAATGTTTGGGGACAGTCAAGGCTGGCCAAAGTGGCACGGAGCCTTGTTTTCTGGCTCTGCTTATGGAAAAGCAATGCAAGGGCTAGTTCCAATTTTTCAACCTCAGGTCTCCACTGAATAGTCAACGCTCCAGGTGAATCAAGTCAGATCAGAGGAAATGAGAAGTCCCTCCATTTAACCCCAGGTCCCTTCCCTATGTAGGGCCAAGGGAGGGCCTCTGAGGGGATGGTTCTGATTCTTAGCCCAGTCGGATTTATTTCCTTCCATCCTGATCTTAGGACGAACAAGAAGACACGGGATTCACTCATTTGTGTGTGGGTGAGTCTGTGACCTGTATCGTGCTGGACCAGCAGAGCAAGGTCAGGACACGGTTCCCCGACGCGGCTCTGTGACATTTGGGGAAACTGCAGAAGCGGGGGGCCTTCTGACCCCCTCCTGCCCCTCTCCCCTGGAGCAAGCCCTGGAATTCCATGGGCTTCCTCTGGAGCAGGTCCTAGGATCCTCATTCCAGAGCAGAGATGCCCCACCCCGCATCCCTGGGCGGAAGGAGCGTCTTCATCTCTGAAGGCACCGAGAAGAATCTAACAGATAGGCCTCGCGAAGTCCCCCCAGTTCATTACCATTGGGTCCTACCCAGGGACCATTCTGACCCAGCAGGACAGCCCTGCCGATGTCCACTGCATTAATTTTAGCATAAAACACCATCTCTCCCTACTGTCTTGGGTCTTCTTTTCTGAAGGCTTCGGGGTCACATAAAACTCCTACCAAATAAACGGTCTGCTTTCCTCTTGCTGATCTGGGTTTTCTTGCAGAGGCCTCAGGCATAAGCCTTGCTCTGGGGGAGGAAGATCTTATCACAGTAGGAGAAACCTTAAGGTCAAAATGATTCAAGAGGCTGGACACCCTGGCACGAGGGATCTGCACTAAGAGAAGGAGTTTGTTGTTAAAAGTGTTTTTTATTCCCCCTAGTGAGCTCTCGTCCTCACCCAGACTGGTGTACAACCCCTGGGATCCATGCACCTCGCCAGACTGAGTCAATCTGACTGTAGGCTGTGAAGGAGAATGAGGGTGGAATTCACCTTCTGAGATGCGCTCCTTGTCCCCTGAATGTGTCCTGAGGTGCAAGGATCCTCTGCCTCAGGAGTTCTCAGTGTGAGAYGGCATCCTAGGCCCCTCATCAGAAATGCACATTTGGGGGCCACCGAGTCCTGCCGGGTCAGAATGGACACAGGGAAGGCAGTGACCACTCTGCCAAAAGATCTGCAGAGCACCAGCTGCAGATTAAGCCTACCCTGAGCAGGCGCCCAGCTCTGCTTCCCCTCTCCCACTCCAACAGACGGGGAGGAGCTCTACGAAAATGTCAAGGTCAAGGGCCCAGCACGGTGGCAGCGTGCTGGCTGCCAGAATCACCTCCACGGTAGGGCCCTGGTTCCATAGCCCCTGCTTGACAGGGAGCCCTGGGGCCACTGGCCTGCAGAGGTGTCTTCTGGCCCAGCTCACTGCACCCAGCTGCACTACAGATGGAACAGGAGGCGGAGAGCCCTAGGCTTACCCCCTCCCCCACTCACCTTTCTATATCTCAGCCCTGTGTTGGGGCCCCAGAAAATGACAGATTCCAGGTCTAAAGATGTCAGGGGCCATCATCAATCCATTATCTGTAACAGATTCACACTTGAGCTCTCAACAGAAGCAGCAGGGGGAAAAACCAACTTGAAGGTACTGGAGGCTGGGAAGAGGGGTGGGTGAGCACGTGCTGTAGGCACGTGTTCAAATATCCCACTGAACCTCACCAACGTGCACAATGAACACATGGTGATCGAAAATTAATTTAAAAAGAAATGGAATTGATTTCCATCGGTTCTCTATGCTGCGACTACACGGGCTTTAGCATGGAGTCGCCGGTCCTAGGTGAACCTCCCAAATCCACAGAAAGGGCCCAGAGAATCACCCCACGTTTCCTCCATTCTGCAGGCACCTCACACAGCCCTCTCCTTCCAGCCTGGAAGAGCGCAGCCGAAGGTTCTGTTTCACTTTATTGGATACACCACGGTGTGGGATTTACAGACAGAGCAACGATGATGCCGGAGAGAGACAGCGTGCCTGCTGGCCTTTGGTTCTCGGGGTTCTGAAATGAATGGACCTCGCTTCCACATAGTACAACAAGCATCCCAAAGTGGATCATGTAAACAGTTAAATTACTAAGTCATGATTCAAGCTCAAAATACTTCCATGAAAACGGCATACAAAAAAAAAAAAAAACATATAAATTACATTTAAGGTCTGTACATGATTCTTAAAAAAAAAAAAAACAACAATACTGCGTTCTGTACAATATTGCTTCCTTTTGAACATTCTAAACCCAAGAAATATTTTCCCTTGAATTCCAGCAGAGTGGGCAAAATACACATGCAATATAATTAAAACCATTTCACAAAAATACAAGATTGTGTCAGTTTCTATAAAGGCACATTTTGCTTGAACATCGGGGGCTCCCATTTCAGCAGCCCCTGTTTCTTGGGACCCTGGGAGGTGGCAGTGTGCTGTCCTGCTCATCTCTGGCTGGGAGGCAGCAGGGAGAAAGGGCGCTCCCTCCATCCTTGAACCAGCAGGCTGGCGGGTGAGAATCTCAGAGCCCGAGGTACACCTGCCACCCCTTCACAGGCCTGTCCTCCCCACATTTCTAAGACGTGATCCACATACCATACGGAGTGAAGACGTTGCTGTGTTTCTGCAGGGACTGCGCAGCTCACTGGTGATGGAGCACCAGGATGAGTGCAGGCAGAACAGGGCTCACTGTGTGTCCTGCTCCTGAAGAGGTCACACTACTGGGGCCCCTGCCCAGCTCAGGCACAGGTGTGGCCTCCAGACAAACAGGAGGACCCAGAGGCAGCTCTGAGCGCAGAGAATGGACAAGACAGGTGCAGGATTTTCGGTCACTGAGTCTGCAAACCAGCCCTCCCGTGCCCGGGCCCTGGTGATCACTGTGGTCTGTGATCTCTCAAAGGGGGTCGGAGTCCCTGTGGGGTCACAGTGGGGTCTCATCTCCTGGTGCCTGGGCCCTGTGTGCCCCTCAGGCTTCCAGCTGAACTTGTGCTTCGTCCATCTGCAGAGCGTCATTGTCCCCGAGGAGCTCCGTCTCTGGGACAGAGCCATCTTCTTCCTCCTCTGCCTCCTGCACGGGGCTCTGGACCACGTCTTCCGGGACGTTCTGAGCCTCCTCGGTGCCCTCCGAGAGCAGAGCGGCCCTGTCTGCCACGGAGGTGTTGGAGGGGGCCGTAGTGACGTAGCCTGTGCTGGTGGAGCCGCTGCCACTGTGGTGTGAGCTGGGCTTGGGGACCATCTGAGGGGGCACCTGCTGTGGAGTCATTTGCACAGGGATCCGGACCAATAGAAGTTGGGCAGGTATGCCCCATAGGCAGGCACTGGCTGGCAGCCACCAATGGGGATGTAGAGAGCTGGGGTGGGGGCACCATGGGTCTTATCTGGCCCTTCAGGGGGATGATCTGGGGCTGTGGGAAGGGCTGGTCCTTTTGTTTGTGCACTATGTAGCCAGCATTGCTCACATTGCTCATGGGGCTGGTGCTCAGGGAGCTGGTCTGCGTGGTGTTGCTGGCCCCCGAGGTCTGCGCCGAGCTGTTGTAGTTGGACAGGTTGCCCCAGGCCCGCAGCCGGCTGTGGATGTCCTTGAAGCGCGGTCGCCGGCTGGGGAACTCGTTCCAGCACTCGATCATGAGGGCATAGACCCAGGCAGGGCAGTCGTCCGGGCAGGGCAGCACCTGCCGGTTGCGGATCATCTCCACCACGTCCTGGTTGGAGTAGCCACAGTAGGGCTGCAGGCCGTAGCTGAAGACCTCCCACAGGACCACGCCGTAGGACCAGATGTCCGAGTCGATGGAGAACTTGCCGTACATGATMGCCTCGGGGGACATCCAACGGATGGGCAGCGGCGAGTTCCCCGTCAGCTTGTAGTAGTCGGCAGAGTACACCTCGCGGAAGAGGCCCAGGTCCGAGATCTTCACGTTCAGCTTGTCGTACACCAGCACRTTGCGGGTGGCCAGGTCCTTGTGGACCACGTGGTGGCCCGACAGATACTCCATCCCGGCGGCGACCTGCGCCACGACGTGCACGAAGTCGGGGGGCTCCAGGGCCGACTTCACCGTGCGGTCGTCATCGGTGCTGCCCACGTCCGAGTGGGGCGAGCGCATGACCAGGAACTCGTGGAGGTCGCCGTGCGAGCAGTAGCTGAAGATCATGCTGAGGGGCTGGTCCTTGGTCACCAGGCCCAGCAGGCAGACGACGTTGGGGTGCTGCAGCCGAGCCCGCAGCAGGGCCTCGTGCCTGAACTCCTCCCGGAGCGGGCCCTCGGCTTTGTCCTTCAGCGTCTTGATGGCCACCACCTGGGTCTGCTCCCCCTGGGTGGGCCCAAACAGATGGCCTTTGTAGACCTTGCCAAACCGGTCCTCCCCCAGCTCCTCCATGAACCTCACCGAGGACAGGCTRATCTCCTTGAGTTTGGCCTGTCAAAAAAGAAAAGCCCCCAATCAAACTTTTTTGGCCATGGCCAACGTCAGAGGAGGAGCAGGGAGAGCGGGAGGGGTCAGAAGCATCCCTTGTGCCACCGTCACCTTGCAGAGGACCCCCTGGTCCTAACTGTCCTGCACGTGGCCACCCACAATGTGCTCTGATGCAGGCTGTCCCAGTCCTCCCACGGCCCCAACCCGTCTGCCTATCAGAATGTGACATGTGACCAAGGTGCTGCTGCAGACCTCCCTCCACCCCCACGTGTGTGTGCACACGTGTGTGTCTGCACGGACTCACACTCAGACACATGTCCCGCAACCGCGCCTGAGCACCAGCTCTCCCACAGCCGCCCTGGACTCTCCCCGTGGGCTGCCTCCACATCCCTCCTGTGTGTGGCCACACCACAGCAAGATCCTCCTCGGCTCCAGCCCCCGGCCGATCCTCAGCACCTCCCTGGCTGAAGAGGTGGGTGAGCCCACTCTCCCTGAGCACCTCGGAGGGCCCTTCCAAGTTGGGGGGACAGCGCTCCCCAGAGCTTGGGACGAAGGTGAACCCCCGCAGGAAGGCGGGCAGGGCGGGCACCTGCTGCATTTCAGAATTTCCCACCTGCCTCCCTTTCATTTAAGAACATTCAGGGCGGGGACCGTCTCTCAGAGGTGGCTGGTCCCTCCTGCCCCCATGAAAAGACTGGTGTTCTCTGCCTCCCCCAGAACCAATGCAGCAAGACCAACCGGAATGGAAACTGGGTCCCAGGCCCTTAAAAATGCCACCGGCAGCCTCAAATTGTGGAACTGTTTTTTTTTTTTTTTTTTCCTTTTTCTTAGGTCACCCTGTAGACAGAGTTGAGGCTCCTGAGCAGCCAAGACTGTTTGCTGGGCCACACAAGGGGCCCTGGTCTAGTTGTGGGGGAGAAGCTGTGCACTTCATATTGAGTGAATTCCAAATATGCCTGCCATTCATTTTCTAAAGTCACACACACACACACACACACACACACACACCGATGTATTTTAGAGAAAAAAAATAGCAAGATAAAATTGTGTGCTGTGTACGGAGGAAATGAAGAAACCGGGGTCTCCCAGGTGACCCACCCTGGAGGACACAGCCTCAAAAAGCTGCCTTGTTAGAAGACAGAAGCAAAGACCTGTTTGTGCTGGTTGATGAGCGGCATCTCCACGTCCTGGCTCGGCGAGGCCATCAGCTGCCGGCGCTGAGGGGTGGACGCGGAYGCTTTCTGTTTATTGCGGCACATGCAGACCAGGAAGAAGAGGCAGGCGATGACCAAGGGGATGGCGATGCTGGGCACCAAGATGTACAGAATGCCCATCTTGCTGCTGTGTCGGGGACCTGCGAGTGAGAAAGAGGCTTTGGTGACTCCTGAGAAAACATCCCCCTTTCAGTTCAGTTCTCCACCAACCGCCCAGGCAAAGCACGTGGACGATCCAATAAATCACACAGAGGAGCAAAGCTGTACACCACACCTTAAAAAATATACGTGGCTCATCCTACTGTGGAGACCACCACAGACCACCCCCACAGGGAAGCAAACACTTCTTTCCTGGTGCTTTGGACACCGTGGGAACAGGTATTGGGCAGGATCACATTTGTCACCAAGGTCTCCTCCCCTCCTGATTTGGGTGAGATTTAGGAAAGACATCTGATGTCCTTGACCATGGTGGGTCAAACTTGGCTCAAACGTGGGACTAGAAACGACCTTTTCCTCCTTCAGTATTTTGATTTTTTGAACATTTTTGTATCATGTTAACATTGCCTTTTAGAATACTACTTAAAATTAATTTAAATTAAAAGAGCAAGGGTAATCCATGGGTTTGCCCAATACAATATGCCAAAAGAGTAAAAGAATTCTTGAAAAATAGGATGTACCAATAGTACCAAGCTTTCAAATTCCTTTTGCTTTAGATTCCCAGTGAAAAGCAGCACTTTGTCTCCCTCTACAGGGTTTATGGGAAGTGGCAGCGGGGCCCACAGGAGCCAGGCTGCAAGACCACTGGAAGCAGGGGATGGGTCCTGGGGGCTGGGTGTCCTGGGGCTGCTGGCCCAGCCCTCCAGCCCAGCACCTCCTCTGGCCCTTCAAGGCTACTGCATTTAAGAGCCTGTGGCCTGACTGAAGAAGGCTGAGCCCTTCCCTGTATGTGATGAAAGGTGGGCTCTCTCGAGGTACTTCCCTCTATCCCCAGGGAACTATGTGGTCCTATGTTTACCCCTTGGCTTGGTAAATGACTACCCCACACTTGAACAGCTCTATGACCAGGGGCAATGAGCTCCCCATTGGAAGAAAACAAAAAATTTCTGGTCAACATGATCTATGAAAAAATTGATTGGGTCTCAAAATGAGTAGTCTCGTGCTCTCTTAGGAAAAGTCACCATGTCCCAAACCTAGTCTCATCTGTGCCCTCCAAATAAGACAAAAATCAAATAAAGTGAAAGTCAAAACTCTCTTCTGTCCCCACCCAGCAATTTCCCCCACCCCTAAAGTGTCCAGGAGGCAGATGTTGCCGAAGCCTCAGGGCCCATGAACATTAGATTCCAGTTTGTTTTCCATTATTAGGATGAGGAGTGCAAGCTGTCCCTCATGCCAAAATCAGGAGAAAAAGCTTTGTCTGGGCAATTGCATGATCATCTGCCTTAATATGATTTAATTAAAAATTACCAATACAACACATACTCTTTGGGAAAAAATGTACTGTTGAAATGTGGGCATTATAAAGTAAATATTCCTAATAGCCCTTTCATGTTGTTATTAAAAGCTATCATATTGTTAATAGGTTAATACTCCATTTATTATGTATATTTTAATTTCAACCACGTGATACCACTGACATTTAACTATTCTGATATCCAGGAACAGTAGTTTCATATGGTGTTTTACATGAGACCAGACTTCATTTTAAATTGAATTGTGTCACCTGTATTTTCCTGCTCCTGGTTTTGGAACAGAATCAAATATTTTGGACAGGTCCGTGGGTTCTTTTATAGCTGTGTACTACTCCCCAATATGGATGCACTTCCACTATCCCATGCAACCTCCTTCTGATAAATTAGTCTATTTTGCATTTAGCTCTCGGGAGTGTTTCTGCAAGAAATATCCTTGCATTTCTGCCTTGTAAATGCAGCTACCTCTGCAACATAAGATTCCAGTAATTGCCAGATCAAACAATGTGCCTATTTTTCTTAATGGGCACTAATAACGTCCTTCCTTGCAGGAAATAGATTTAAAGGGCTGTATCAGGGTTGAGCTCCTGGTATGTTCATTCTAACAGTTTATTCCTACTATGAACACACATTCCTGAAGAGGCGTCTGAGCTGCTCAGCAAAAGCCATGATAAATCTGGAGCCACCAAATCACAGCTTCAAAACCGTGATGGATAAATACTCACAGGTACTCGCTCCTCGGTAGGGTGGGAGTACCTGGGCTTCACAGGAGGGGGTGTCCAGGCACAGGGGAGCCTTAGCTGCTCCACAGATTGACCTGTCCTTCTGCAAGATCCCACAGTCTCCCACCAACCCACCAACTCCGGATCCCAGCTGAGTTCAGTTACTCCACTACCAAAATGTGCACCATTGAAACTCAGAGACAATGACCGCGGAAGTTCCACCATTGACTACACAATCTTTTCCTATTTTTTATGTAGCAGAGATGCTCAGAGGGAACGTTAAGAGACCATGGATTCTATTTTCTCCTTATTCTACCAGTTCTGTGCGTGAAAGCTCAGAAGCAGGGGAAAAGCCCAAAAGATGGGAGTGGGGGACCGGGGGTGGGGGGCAGCATCTTTCTTTATATTGTGTGATAATGTCCGTGGAGGGACAGCGATGCCAGCTGAATTCCAGGACTGGATCCAGGTAAAGGGATGGAGGAAGGGTCCAGAATGCAAACAGTAGCTGCCACTGTGAGCTGAACTTATGGGCCACTTGCACGACATTCTCCAGACTTCTCCCATTTTAAGACACCCCATAAGGATCTGATTTGATGTCACAACCAGCATCAGTTTAGTTTAAAACAATCACAATGGTGAAGATGGGGCTCTGTGGTCCCCTCTGTCCGGAGGCAAGACAGAACATTCTCATCACAGGTGAACTCAACAGTCAACATTTTAAAAAAAGAGAGAGAGAATACATACTACACGAGGGTACGTCACACAGTTCCATGCGTACGTTTTTATTCTGCGTAAAGCACCAGGGGCCTTCCATCTGGCCTCCGGGGTTGCGGCAGTAGGCATGCCCCCCTCCGAGCTCGGGGAAGTCTGCGCTGGACAGGTGGTGGCTGTGGGGGTGCTGCAGGGCCCAGGGCTGGCACTGGTGCCCCGACTTGGTGGTGCTGGCTGTCCCTCTGTAGTCTGAGCCCGAGCCGTTGTAGCACTGATGATCTGAGAGAGGCAGACGCATTAGGAGGCGCGAACACCCGGGGAACTGGCCCACCCTGGGGGTACAGGATTCACCTCCTTCAACTATTTATTTCAGGAAGGAACAAACCCACTTGGCCGGCATGAGCCCAAATGGGAATTTCCAAAAGACCAAAGGATTTTACATATCGTCCAAGAAAAGCAGCATTAAAAATAAGGACTCAATAAAGTCTTAAGCCCATAAATGAAATTGAGGGCACCTTAGGGACATATGTGAAGGAAAGCTGTCAGAAGTTACTCCGCGGCCCCGAAACCACCTTTGGAAATGTCAACACCCACCTCATTCACACTCATACTAAAAGCAGAATTGAACTGTACAAATCCCAGCGGCTCTGGAGGCTGAGGCAGGAGGATCGCAAGTTCAAAGCCAGCCTCAGCCACGGTGAGGTGCTAAACAACTTAACGAGACCCTGTCTCTAAATAAAATACAAAGTCGTGCTTGAGTGCTCCCAGGTTCAACCCCTGGTACAAAAAAAAAAAAAAAAAAAAAACTATACAAGCAGCGAGGACAAATCCTAGGCCTGGCCCTGCAACCTGGAGACCACCTCCACCACCCAGGGAGAAGCCAGGCTCGGCCACGGTGAGAACAGTGTCTATGGAGGAGCCAGAGCTAAGGATGTGCGTTTGTTGAACATTTACCCAGTGTTTATCTCATGCCCTCTTCTAAGATTTAATTATTAACTCGCCTAATCTTCATTCCAGCYGCACAAGGTCAGAGCTATTGCCCTCATGGAATATGAGGAAACAGGAGTCTAAGCAACTCCCTCAGGTCACACTGGAAGCCCCGTGGCCAGGAGTTATGAGGGACATGCTGGACCCTGAGGCCAGGCCCTACCTGCCTTGGCAAGGCACCCCGTGCACTTCTGGAAACCCCAGGAGAGGGGGTCTCACCTCTCACGGGGACAACCCTGACGTTCTCGGGGACGTCGGCAGAACTCCCTGTCCCGTGCCTTCTTCCCTGACTGGCCTTGCCGYCTGCCAGGGCCTACTACATACCCAGAGAACACAGGCTGCTCTGCTGCCAGGAAAGGGAGTGGGGAGCAGGGCTTTGTCCTCTACAGACCCCGAGGGGCCACACACACCCAGCCCCAGGTTCAGAAGAATCAAGTGCCCCACTCCSCAGCTGAGGTCCTGTACTGCAGGGGAAGGTGGCTGGGAAGGTGGGAGACCGTCCCTATTCCCTTTTGTAGTGACACAGAGCTTCTGGGTCCTTCTGAGCCCCCACCATGCATCATCTCCACGTCTCCAACTTGTGTGAGGCTGAGAAACCTTCAGGTTTCCGGGCACTGGGCTTCAGAGGTCCGGAGAGAGGGCTGGAGCCCACCTTTTCCCCAAGATGCTGTGGACCATCACAGAAGCTGGGAGGCTGGGCCTCTCCTCAACCTCCCTGCAGGTTTCCATGGCAGAAACCTGGGTCACTCCCCATCTGGAGACAGGAAATCCCAAGCTCCAGGGAGTAAAGGGACTTAGCTCCAGTCCCCCAAGATGGACAGCATTCAAGCAGGGTGTGGATCTGGGTCTGAATGACTTCAAATCCCCAGCTCTTTACCACCAGGTGGCTGCCCTGTGGGATGGGGGACTGGACAGAGAGGCTCTGGATGCTGTGCCCTGCTTCAGCAAGGCAGATGGGGCCCCTGGGCAACAGGCCAGCTCAGAGCCCCCATCTCACGCCCACACACCGCCCCTCTCTGCTCCCRGGGTGGGGCACTCACAGCGGCCCAGCCTCTCCGCCGGGATGCCGATGCGCATGCAGTTGGCTGCGTCCGGGCTCTCGGGCAGGGGCAGCGCCTCGCACTTGGGCAGCTGCAGCCGCATGAGGATGAGCGGGTTGGAGCGCGCGATCGTGTACTCCTGGCGGCACAGGTCGCTCTCCAGGACCTCGCACTCGTCGCGGCACAGCTCCCGCGGCTTGGGTGCCCTGGAGCGGGCGTCGCACAGCGGGAACACGAAGTGGCAGAAGGACGGAATGGCGAACTGCGAGCACTGGTCTGACAGGTGCGTGGAGGTCCCGATCATGGTGAAGGCCGCTGCGGAGAGCGAGGCCCGA